AGTATAAATTTTCTCCCACTTCCAGATCTATTGAAGTTTAAGGGAATATAAAGACCATTGTTTGAAAGGTCCCTCTTGTTCAGAAAACTGTCATGCTTTGAATAATGGGCTAATGGTATAGAATGAAATGTTTTCTGGGATTTGTTTCAAAATATTCAGTAGATATTATCCATTAAACTATATAGTGTTAGGATTATGCTAGTTGGAGCATTCTAATGAGAGTTTGTCTCAAACAACAAAGCAAATTGTATTCAACTGTGTGTGTGTGTGTGTGTGTGTGTGTGTGTGTGTGTGTGTGTGTGTGTGTTTCTGTGTGTTATTGAGGAATGTCTTACTATCATAATCCCTTCATAGACCAGGATGGCTTGAATTTCAGGAGAACTTCTTGGCTCTGCTACCATACCAAGCTATATTTATTTCTGAGAGTGATTTGACAGGGACCAATGCCTGACACCTGAAATGACTTTAAGAGATATTGCCCTGAACCATGAGACCTCTGCTGAGGTTAAGCTGGGACACTTCAATGCATTTTGGAAAAAGATTTCAGAATGAGACAATGAGACAATACAAATCAGAGTTGGAATTTTATTTTGAGACAGGATTTCTCCATGTATCTGTAGCTGTCCTTGAACTCAGTATATAGGTAACTTTGGTCCCAAACTCCCATATCTCTTCCTGCCTCTGCTGCTCAAGTATTGGAATAAAAGCTGTTTGCCACATCATGCAATTGTAATTTTATTAATTATTTTCTTATAACTGTTTGTATCTATATCCTCATTTATGTGTGAAAAGACATGCAGGTGTGTTCTGGTTTAGGTGTAATAGAGAACATTTTGGGTGTTGGTCCTTTGCCTTCAGCATGTTTGAGACAGGGTTCCTAGTTTACTACCACATATAAATAAACTTGCAAGATTTCTTCTGTGCACATTTTATGTTGCCTTAAAATTACTGGATTAATGCATGCATTATGGCAACTGTTTTTATAAGACAGACAGAAGTAAAGGGATAGGTTCAAGGTGAGTACTTTTATTGTTAAACCTTTTTCACAGCCTTGAAGTTTATTAAGTAGAGATTTTTGAGTGCATGTGTTTTCAAACACAGTCTCACATTCTAACTCTGTCTCAACTTGAACTCACTAAGTAGTAGATTGGTTAGAACTGGAACTTGAAGAGAGCCACCAGTTTCTGCTTTAAGTGGCCAAACATATAAAAAAAAATTCATTATAGATTTAGCTCAGTAGGAAGAGGGACTTTTGGAAAGTGTCATCTTGTGATAAGAGCCATTCTTAAGAATTAATACAGAGCCTTGTTATAGTTTTGGTGACTTTGTCAGTTCCATTTCAGTGAGTTCTTAGGGAGCTCCTCTCTCTTTGTTTGTGTGTCTCTCTGTCTCTTTGTCTCTTTGTCTTTCAGTCTCTCTTCCTCTCTCCTTTTCTTTGATACCACATGGAGTAGAAGTAGCAAGCCAGAGACATGACAGAAACATTTCATAGATAGAGCTATGTCAGCCCTTTGGGAATGAAGCTCACCTGTCTGAAACAGAGCTACAGGATTTGTTGTCTTCCCTCACTGTGTCCACATTTCAGTCTTCCTTTTTTTAAAATTTTTTTCTTCTGTCAAACAATACATACCAACTACAGTTTCCCCTCCTTCCACTCCTCGGAGTCCTCTCCATTGTTCCTCTCTTCACAAGATCCAGTCCTTTTCCATTTCCCTTCATAATAGGGCAGCTATCCCAGGGTTATCCACCCAACCCTGCATAACAAGAGACTAGGCAGGAACCCTCCTATCAATGCTGGACAAAGCAAGCTAACAGGAGATAAAGGATTTCAAGAGCAGGCAATAGAGTCAGAGACACACCCGCACTTCCACTGTTAGGAGGTGCACAAAAACACCAAGCTATAAGTGGTAACACAGATGTAGAGAGACTGTTGTGTGCACAAGCAGGCCGTGATTGCTTTTTCTGTCTCTGTGAGCCGCTATGAGCATTTCTCAGTGGATTCTCTGTGCTGTGTTCTCTTCTGTCCTTTTGGTGAGAATTTTTTTTTTTTCCCAAAATCCATTCTGGGCTTTTGAGCTGAGATTTTCCTCCTTATATTACTATTAATCTTAGGTTTGGTCTTTTAATAGTGTTCCAGATTTCCTGGATCTTATGTTTCAGGAAATCTTTAGATTTAACATTTTCTTTCATTGATATAGCCATCTCTTCTATCATATCTTCAAGGTCTGAAATTCTCTATGCCATGTCTTGTATTCTTTTGGTGAAGCTTGCCTCTGTAGTTCTTGTTTGAATATCAAGATTTTCATTTCTAGAATTCCTTCAGTTTGCATTTTTTAAATGCTTCTATTTTCATTATCAGGTCTTGAAATGCTTCTTTCTTTTCCATTAGGTGTTTGTGTACCTTTGGCTTTCTTACAAGGATTTGTTAATTATTTTTCCAATATTACATTTATCATTTCTCTGCTTTCTTTAAAAGGATTCATTCATTTCACCTTTAAGAACTCCTATCATCTTTATAAAGTTTGTCTTAATTGTCTCTCAAACATGATTAAATGTCCAGGACTTGTTGTAGTAGGACAGCAGGAATCTGGTAGTGACATATTGCTCCAGCTGTTATTGACTATGTTTTAATGCTGGTGTCTGTATATGTGAATTTGAGGTGATTGTGTATCCAGGTGCTGATTTCTCAGTTTATTTTGGATGGATGTTTTATTCCTTGGTTTATATTTGTCCTCTGGTCTTCTATTCAGTGTGGCCTATGGCTGAACAGGGATTTGCATCCCAAGTTGCGGGCTTGAAATCTTTCAGTAGGTGTGGCCTTTGTTCCAGCAGTGAGTATCTGCTCAAGTTTGTGGGTGACAAAATGGAAGCGAGGAGAAATATGGGTATAGGGTTGAGAGGGCACTTAGAAAGTAGGGAGGTAATTGGGCAGGTGAAGTACATGACATCTGGCACATTGTATGTCCTTTGGTTAGAGAAAGAAAATAACAGAAGTTGGAGGCTACAACACAGAGATGAAGAGAGAATTGGGATTGAGGATAGTGCTGGTGGTTATTGAAAGAACACAGGAGGTTCAAAAGAGGGCAGGATACATGGATTTTTGGTGGCTGGCATAGCCTCTGGTCCAGTAGGGGGTCTTTATCTTAAGTTGTCTACCTGTTTTTCTGGATTGGCTGCCTGCATTTGAGCAGAAGGTATCCATTTGATTTGGGATGAGTTCATGGCTTTGGAAGTGTCAGCTGTCGGGTTCATGGGCAACTGTGTCTTTGGACATAAATGGTGGTTGGAATAGATCATAACATTCTTGATATG